AGACTCCACCACACATTAAAAACACATTGTTTTTCTCACCAGGAGATGACAGTAGGTTGAAGGGGAAATGCAGGTGGGAAATCAGCCAATTGCTACACTTGAAGTGCCCTACATTAAAACTATTAGGACAGCATTAGTCTCTAACCTTGTCCCTTAAGAAGAATGGGGCTTCAGGCATCAAGGCCATGCAATTTACATTGGTATAGTTTCTGCCAACTCAAGGACTGGACAGTAGCATGTCAATATAGCTGTGAGGGAGAACTCTTGGAAAATCAGAGACTTTTGTATATCATTAAGTACATTTCATCCAACTGGAGCAGATATGGATTGCTGGAAAACTAAAATAAAGGGAAATACTGTTTCTATAACATTTTAGACACCACTCAAATTTCTATACACACACAGGCATGCACACACACACACACACACTTGGAATTGATGGCTCATATACAAGTTTCATCTGTAATGTTGCAGCACATAAGCATCTAGATTTTCCATGTAGAATTTGTAATCAGCTTCTAAAATTTGTAGCTAAATTGCAAAGTAAAGGAACTGTCTAGGACAATATACATTTTCTTACAAAGTTTACTAAGAACTGATATAGAGAATTTCAGTTTCACCTTTTGGTTTGGATGAGAATTTGATCTGCATTGCTTAACAACCCTTCTTTCCCCAAAGGTCCTTTTTTACTTGACTCTAGCATGTTCTAAAAATAAAATTAAAGTAGTATTTTTAAAAGAAATGTTATTATGCCACTTAAGTAAATGACACTGATGTTATATTGTAGCCACTTTTAAAGTACATTTTCTAATCACATTTTAATCACTAAGGGTTTTTTTTAATATTGTCAGCTGGAGAATTAAATCAATGTTGGAAAAGGAATGCATTTTATACATTCTTTTTTTTATATAGTTCAGAACTGTTCCTATTATAATTTCTCTGTCATTTGTATCTTGTCATTCTTCTGAAGATATCAGGGCAACATTTAGAGAGCTACCCCACGGTATCCTAACATGACTTGTGTGGATGGCTTTCTTTGGCTAAAAAGGAACTTTTTCACCCCAAATAATCCAGGGACTTTTCAATTGCCTGTCAATTAAAACAATTATATAGAGGTGGGTAACTTGCAGCCCACTGGCTACACTGAGTCCTGAACTCCCATCTCCTAGTCCCCAGAGCTTCCCAGATTGCACTGGGAATACAGCAGCAAAATAGCCAATTTTTAGCTGCAATGGTTTTCCCTTTAAAATAAGAGTGGAAAATGACATTATGCCTCTGTAAGATGAAACAGATTCATTTCTTCTCCATTAAACACACAGAATTCAACGTTCAGCCCAGCCTACTTGATAACATCCCATCACAGACATTTGCCCTATGACATTCAAAGGACAAATCATAAAAGTTGGAAGGGGCCATGTAGGCCATCAAATTCAGCCTCCTCTTCTGTGAAGGAATCCAAATTGAAGTATTCTTGACAGATGCCTCTCTAGCTTTGATTTGAAATACAGGCAGTCCTCAACTTATGACCATTTGTTTAACAACCGTTAGAAGTTACAATGGTGCTAGAAAAAGTGATTTATGACCAGTTCTCGCACTTACAACCTTCGCAGCGTTCCTGCACTCATGTGATCAAAATTCGGGTGCTTGGCAACCGGCATGTATTTACGACTGTTGCAGCATCCCAAGGTCACACAGTTGCCATTTGTGACCTACCCAGGGGGCTTCCAACATGCAAATCAATGGGGGAAACTCTTCTCCTAAGAGGTGAACAATTTATTTGCTAAAGGAAATTCCCCAAATAGATTTTGAGGTTCATCTCAAAAAGACAAAGCAGCTCTTGAACTCACATTTTCTTTAAAAAAAGCACCTTTGATATATTTTTATCACTGCCACTCCCTCCTGGCTTTTTCTAGCAGTAGGCTTTGTTTAGCTTAACAACAATTCTATAAAGTAGGTTTTGCTGAGAGATAATGGACTTATCCAAGACTAATGAATGACTTTACTGATGAGCAGGCCTTTTCTCACATCCAGACAAAAGAATCAGGTACCTCACCAGTTCAGGAATGAAAAACCCAGGGCAAGCCTTCATTTGTTTATTCAAAAGAAAGCACCCTTGGGTTTAACACCCTTACTCCCATGTACATCTATAAAAGATTGAATTCCACACTTGATCTACTGAGTCAGTTATTTGCCTATGCAATTAACCTGGCATATGGAATTCTGCGTCCCTGAATTTTAACAGATTTCAAATTGCCTCCGGCCCCTTGCTTCAGAAATAATCATCCTTCTTGAAATACTTTTGTCTAGATTATTTGATAAGAACAAGATTGACATCCTCAGTATTCTAGTTATTTTCTCATTTGACTCTGAAATTCTCTTACCTGGCCTAAAGGAATCTGATATTGTTTCAATCTCAGATCACTGCAGTATCTCTAGATGAATGTGAGTAACTTAAAACAAGCTATAAAGAATATTTTCTCTTTTATGAAAAAGAGTAGGTCTTGATTATTAGCATCTTTATTATATGAATGGAAATGTACAAATTACAGACTTGCATTCTATTCTAGGAGGCTAACGACTATTAAACAGACATAAGGCAAGTATCACGAACCAGAAATAAAAAAGAAGCATGATATAATATAACAGGCAGATACAGTAACTAAAGTAAAACATTGTCCCTCCACTATTATGGCATTAAAGGGTTTCTCCATCAGATCTTAGAGTAAGAAAAGGCTGTTGCAAAGTTATCCTGGACATAAATCCTTTAGGGCTTTAAAGTACATCTCTCATACCATTGTGACTTTTAATCCAGCCCCAAATTTTATAAAATTACTCAGCTGCCCTTATTTTCAAAAAGTCTTCATGAACTCCTGATGAGTAAATGGCTAAAGGATCACAGGATACTTACTTCATAACACCACCTTCCAGTAAGATAATATAAAAGGGGATCTTGTGGCTTAAGCGCAATGGCTTTGTCAAGATGTTCCTGTAAGAGAGAAGATCATAAGGAAGAACTGCCCTTCCTGTTTTCAGCTGTTTTGCCATAATAAATTCAGGCATCTTGTTTGCTCAGGTATTCTGTAAATATTAGAATTCATCAAGGTGATATGTGCAGTTAAAAAGTTCTGACTAGAACTCAAGAATATGCACAGTCAGAAATTACCAAAGTGAGAGGCATTCCAGCAAAAATGGAACCTGTTAACTTTAAAAATGAGCAAGAGCCATTCTTTGTCAGGAGTCCTACCTCAATCAACTAAACTCTGGAGTAAGACTGACACTGATTTTAAAAGAGAACACCATTTTAAACCTGCTGCGAGCAGAAACACCATCAGAAGTTGGAGTCCATGGAATCAAGAGCAAATGGAGTTATTTCTAGTGCAAATATGTCAAAACACTCATTCTGGGCCTCCGGGTCAGCACGGTCTCATGTTGCTCCTTCCCCCTTTAGGCTGGGAGCAGGACAAAAACCTTGTGGCTAATCCAAAAGGCGCACTTTTAAATCTTTTCAGTTTGAAAGCTGGTTCAAGTTGTTTGGAAGGAGATTATCCACACACACACACTCATCAACATAACTCCATCAGTAAAGTATGCCTCCCAGGCAGAGTTAGTTTTACTTTAAACATAATCTTCAGTACTGTCAGGATGAATTAAGTTAATAACAGTAGCAAGCAGCTTAAGAAAACTACCCAAAACATACCTTAAAAAGATAGCCATTCCTGATTTTGTTCTGTATAGTTTCAAACTGAGACACATAGCCACACATCATTGCAAACCTGAAAAGGAAGTGAGAAAAAAGGAGGGGAGGGGAAGGGGGGAGAAATCATTAGACTTTTGTGATCATTTGTATTACAATACAGGTAGTCTTTGTTTAGCGACTGCCTTGTTTAGCAACTGTTTGCAGTTACGGCAGTGATGAAAAAGTAACTTTACGACCAATCCTCACATTGACCACCTTCACAGGTCTGTAAAACAAAGGAAAGCTGAAGTAAGATCATAAGCACAGTTGTGCTTACACTTAGTGACCATTTTGCTTAATGACCAAGTTGCTGGTCCCAATTGTGGTTGCCGAATAAGGACTACCTATAATGCCAGCCTGATGCTTTGTAAACAAATGTCTATTACTTTCAGTACATAAGTAACACAAGGCAGGGAATCATCTTAGAAGAGGCATTCCTTCTTTTATCAGTCTCTTCTAAGAAGGCTCCTACTGATTTGTGCAAACATCAACAAAAAGACTATATATAAGTCATTTATTTGTTGTTCTGAAAAAAAAATCATCAGTATGTTTAATCCTAAACTGTTTTGCACTAAAGAAAGTTCCACTAGATCTCCTGGAATTAAGCCTTAGGCAATGTGGTGCTTAAGCTCCTTGCTTTAACTTTTTAAAACTGCAAAAGACAAGGCAACAAGGATTTATTTAACTAGACAACAGCCCTGTTTTTATTGCGCATCTTTAGCTGCCAACTCAGCATCACAATTCATCTGCTAGCTCAAAATCTGTTTTGCGTTAACAAATTCCCAAGTGCAGCTTTCAGTGATTCGAATCTTTATGTTTTCAATCCTGACTCAGATCATCCATAAAGATTAGGATGGTTTTAAATGAGTTTCCACTCCAGCTATTAAGCATTCACACTCTTTCGCCTTGCTCTCCATGCAGCAATTACACACTGCAACTGACTTACAGCAATGGAATGGAAGTGTATTTTTCCAAACTTGTGGATACAATTACCATCCATTAAGAACAAAACAGTCCTCCCTAAAACAATACCCATCAGCTGTACAGGGCCACATGCTGAAACTGTACTGCTATCCAGGCGAAGAATGCCAGGTTGGGGAAGGCTGGAATAGAGCAATGCATTATCTTATCGTATGTAGCCTTAGCCCACCGTATCTTCTTTACAAACAAATTCAGGATAATCTTCTATCCAAACAGATGTGATTGATCACATTATAACACAGTTCAAAAAGAAAGCAGGCTTGATATTCCTAGCGAAGACAATTAAAGAACTTCAAGTATTTAGAAGAAACAAGGTTACTAAAAACGTGATTTCTCATAGGTTGCAGAAAGGCAACACCACTTTCTCTCCAGTTCCGCTTAGCTCATTAGGTGCTAATCAGATGGACTCAGCATACCATAGCTAAACGGATTACGGTTAGAAAAGAAAACAATGAAATACAAATAAGCTAATCCTGAAGTTTTGCAGAATCTCCAAGTCTGTGCGTGACAAGGAAAGAAAAGTGCTGGGTTAAACCAGTTAAGGGCTATATTTCTGCATGTGAGGGGTTTTGGGGAAGAATAAGAAAGCTGCTTATTTTCTCTTAGTGGAAAAGTCACACAAACAATAATCCGCAGGGTATATTCATTGACATCTACAAGAGAAAAGCTGTAGTGTCAGATACGATTGTAATTTGTGTTCTTACGATACACTGTGACAACATACCTGTTTTGCAGTATGTTGTGTTACTATTAAGAAAACCATGATCAGAATCAATCTAAATGTGATTTGTGCAGAAAGTATTTCAACTACCTGAAATGAACAGCTTGACTCTCTTTCTTGTGAGTTCTGACAGTTATTTTGATACAGAAATATATTAGTGAATTGATTAGATCAGTGGTTGTCGCAAACAAGCCCCACTTCATATGAGGTCTGTCACGACCCCCCCCCCCCCTCCCACACAGCCCACCGCCCTGTGGGCTTT